CTCGCCGGCATCAAACTTGAAGGAGGAGATGCCGTACTTGTGGCGGAGCTGTCGCAGGTGGCTCTGGAACCAGTCCCGAGCCGCTGGGTTGGTGAAGTCCAGGATGGCCCCAATGCCGTTCCACCACTCCACCATGGCCGGCAGCCGCCCCGAGGGCTCCTTGATGAACAGCTGCCGCTCAATCCCCACCCCAAAATTGGAGGAATCTCTGTGTATGAAAGGATGAGTCCACAGGGTCACCTTAAACCCATCCTCCCTCAGTTTTGTGAACATCTCCGTCACATTGGGGAACTTGATGGGGTCAAAGTCAAAGTCCCCGTACGCTTGCGTGTACGTGTCGTCGATTTCAATGTGACTGCAGTTAAAACGGTACTTCTTAATCTTTTCTGCAAATCTCAGGAGTTTATCCTGGTCGATATCGTTTTTGTACAGGGCCCAGGTGGACCAGATCGGGTAGCGGAAGGCGTTTTCGGAGGGGATCTTGGAGGGCTTGTTGAAGTACCGGCGCACCATGTACTTGTGGATGGAGGTGACGTCCGAGCCCACGCACACCCGGTAGCTCAGCTCGGGGAAGGGCTGCTGCCCCGGCGGGGGCTTGTAGGGTGAATCCTTGTAGCGGGCCTGGAAGAAGAGGGTGCGCTCCGTGGCGTTGAAGCCCAGGTGGAAGGGCACGGAGTCGTTGATCTTGATGGCCGCCGCTTTGGACGAGAGCCAGTAGCGCTCCAGGATGCCCCCAAAGCTGTCCCGGAAGGAGTAGACGTCACTCGTCACGTAGGGCACGGGCTCCTGGTAGCCCGCGAGGCGGATGGGCCAGTGCTGGGTGCTCATCTCCGAGCCCCCGTACCAGTGGGCATCCTCCCAGAACATGGTGTGCTCCACCGCCACGCCGGCCGCAAACTCCTCCCAGCGCACGCGGTAGCACATCACCGTGTCCTTGGGCTTCACCGTCTGGATGAAGAAGTTCAGCGGCCCCCCGTCTGACCGCGTGCAGCTCAAAATCTCTCCCTCCTTGGAGCACGACTCCAGGTCGAGGCTCCCCGACCGGAAGGCCAGTCGGAAAACCACCTCCCCGTTCTGGTTCTTGATGACAAACCCGTCCGGCCGCAGGTCCATCAGCTCCGTCTTCAGACGCTCCGCTTTCCGCAGGGACACCGTGTAGTAGCACCAGGCCACCACGGCAGCAATGAAGAGGATGAGGCCAAGCACGATGGCCCCGAGCATGGGCTTCAGCTCCTTGGAGGGCTTCTGCTTCACCGGGGTGAAGTTTTCAGGAAGATGGGTTTCCTTGACATTCCCCCTTCGAGCAGTCCCATGTTTTCCCGCACGGTGAGTAATCTGATTCTCCATTATGCCCCAGAAGCGTCACCTCCTGGTTAGAAACTTTGCTGCTTAATTTTTTTCTCCAAATGGGGAAAAGAAAAGCCAAAATGCAGTATCAAGGTGGTCACAGCCTCTTCATCAAAGCCCCGCCTCTCACACGTGTGCTATTGGTTTATGAAACAGAGGATTATATACACTGAAATTTAATCTTCTGAGTGGTCCTCCCTCTTTGCCTCTTGTTTGGAGACCTGCAACCTCCCCAGCTCTGCAGATCTGGCTTGCTTTGCCGTTTGCTATGTGCTATTACACCCAGTTCACTGGAAGCTGAGCTGAGCTGAGCTTTTTCAGGGCTGGTCTATGCCAGGATTCCCGTGAGCTTCTCCTGGCTGCAGCCTCACTGTGTCCCACTGAGCAAGGACAAGGGGATGAAAGTCAGACCAGAGCTCAGAGGAGAACAGGGGTTTCTAAGCAGAGAGAGGGGCTGGCACCAGAGGATTCAGTCTGGAAGCCAAGAACTGATCTGGATTTAAATGCTTTGTTAAGTGTATGCCCTGCTAGATTTTTCCCATCTGTCTTCTACTTCTCTGCATCGAATTCAGAGAGGAAATGCTATGTCAAGCTGTTCAGCCCATGCCAGCTGGTTCCCCACCACCCTCCCTGGGTGCTGCAGCAAGGGGAGCCAAGGTTTTATCTCCCTGCACTTTGCTCCTTCATCGAGCTGCAGCGGTGACGTGGGGACACGCACGTGTTGGGCCCGCCGCCCGCACCAAAATCTGCTTCAGGGAGACACGGCAGAGCCCTTCGGCTGCCTGTCGGCTGCATGTCTGGAGCTGGTCCCTTTGGGACAGCCCATCTTATCCTGGCTGCAGAGGAAGAGGATGTTTCTCTGCATCTGATCTGGCTGCAGTTCTGCATTTGATGCATTAATTCAGTTCCCGTAACACCCAGGCCCCACGTCTGGCTAGTGACAGAGTCAAGAAGCTGCAGCACTGCGATCCCACAGGGCTGGATGACAGGTTGGGGTTGCTTGGGGTGGGGTGGGGGGGTTAAACTGCAATTACTACACAGCAAGGACCATATTAAAACTAAAAATCTTCTATTCCCGGCAAAGGCACAATAATAAGATACTCATCCCAGCGGCATCAAGGATCGCCAAGTCAGCTGGCCCCGCGCGGCTTGCAACATCTGAAAGAGCGCCGAATACCAACAGAAACGACGGGCGAAGGCTGGCGTGGGAAACTGAGGCAGGCAGCAGGGTTAAACCCTCTCACTGGACTGAGGGCATCTCCAACCCAGTCTTTCCCTTCATCTGGATGAAAAAAAAAAAAAAGAAAGCAAATGTTACTGTTTTTGTCAAACACAATCAGCGTCGGGAACGCCCGGGCTCCCCTGAGGGCAGCTTCTGCCCCGTCTGACGGGGAGAAAACTTGCAGGAATAACCCGCAGGGAGAGAAGATGAAAACAAGGCAGCTTGTCCGGCCGAGCCGTGCCAGGCAATGCATGCCTCGCGGTACGTACCCGGGCCGCCGTGACATCAGTAGCTAAGTATACAGAAATGATAAGCTGCCCAGGGAGCCACTAAAAATACCAGAGGTCACGGAGGTGGGTATCGATCGCAGCCACTTCCTGATGGCTGACAGGAGCGGCCTGCTTCTTTTTTTTGGTGGGCTCTCAGGGTGAGTAAGGCTTTGCTGTGAAAAAGAGCCGGAACGGATAAAAGCTTTCCCGGGCAAAGCTTGTTTTGGATGTTTTGCAGCATCCGGTTGTGTGGTGGGGAGCCCTGGCCAGGGGACTCGGCGTGCTGGACGCTGGGCTTCTGGAGAGGAGAAGAGCGGCTGCTGCCCTGAAGAGACGGCGATCCGGGGACTGCTTGTATGTGTCGGACAGGGGAAATACTGGGGAGCAGGCTGGGGTACGCATACACACACATACGGGGGGCCCGCCCGGGCCCGGGCGGGCCCCCGGGCGCGGGCCCGGCCCCAGCCGCTCGGGCTGTTTCCAGCGAAACCCTGGTGTTTTCGAAAAACACCCTTTCTGGCTGGGAGAGGTTTTGACGCGCTGGAGATGGAGCTTTTCCTCCTTCGGCTGCCTTCCTTCTTCCGCCTCCTCGGGCGGACTGGAAACGCGAACGGCCTTTGGGATGAACCTCACCATAATCAGGAGTGGGAAAAAAAGGAGAGGAAGGAGCGAAGGAAATAGGCTTTTCAGTACCAAGTGTCACCACCTTTTTTTTTACTGTTATTACTAAACAACAACAGCAACAACAACCACCAGGAAATCAGAACTCCAAAAATCCTGCAGAATAAAGGATCTGTGGAAAGTTGCCCAGCTTTTTGAGCAGCCCCCCCCCATCCCAACCCATGCCCACCTTGGCCCTGCCTCTTCCTCCTCCTCCTCC